GATAAAAATAATGCCCTAAAATATAATACTTTTAGACTATTCTCTAAAAGTATTTGGGTTTAAGGTCTCTTAAAAATTGTCATGTTTTCCCTACTTTGGATTCCTGAGTAAGGGTACTAGCTTGTCTTAAGAAAAGCAGCAGCAGTTTGTCTACATCCATAATTATTATATCAATTTCATTTTGTTGTATGAATTTCAGGTAGAAGGGGTTACTTGTGCATAGGAAATAATCACATCAAAGTAGAGTTAAGAAGAACACTTGCATGACAGCAGCAATTTGTCTCGATATCCTGCATTAGATGTAAATAAAACTTTTTAAACAGTGAAAGGGATGACATGGTTAGGTTTTTCATTCCCCACATACTTATTTCATTTAATCTATATTAAGATATAAGTCAGCATTCCTGAAATATAGAATTTACTAAATTATAAAGGAATTGTGCTGTCAATGCAAAGGTATACAGTTCGAGTCCACCAGCTGCTCCTCGGGAGAAGGATGGACAATTTCCTCCCATGCGATTCACTACCTCTGAAAACCTGCTACAGTCAGCTATGGATTGGTTTCAAGTTGCCAGTACACAACAACAACAAATTATAAAGGCAGAAATGGACTAAGCATCATCCTCTGATATTGGGATGCAAATATTAATCAAGAAAGCATCAGTCTCCTATTTTATAAAGGGGACAAGTGAGACTCAATGAGGGAAAAATGTCTAACCTGAGGTTACATAGTGACGTCTTGTTATATACCATTGGGTGGATTTAAATTTACAGCAACCTTATAGGACAAAGTAGAAGAACATCACAGGATTTCCAAGGCTTTGTAATCTTTATGACGTGGACTGCCAAATCTTTCTCTCACTGAATAGCTGGTGGATTCAAACTGACACTCTGATAGCAGCTAATAACTTAACCCACTGTGCCAACAGGGCTCCTTTGAATACTGTTATTGTTGTTTACTGTCGAGTTGGAACCTACTCATAGTTGACCCTGCAGTGGGTTTTCTGAGGCAGTATATCACATAGAGGAGACTGTTCCATCTTTCTCCCGGGGACCAGCTGATGGATTTGAACTATCTGCTTTTGTTTGAATTGGCAGATTGGCTGAAATTAGAACCAAATTCTCCTGAATTTGTATTAATATACTTTCTACTACACCAAATATAGCAATTCTCCTTTATACTGAGGCATATGTATATCCTAATTAGAAGTAACTCAAGGGAAATGGGCAGCCTGTTACCACTAGGCTACCACCGCTCCCTGGTGAATAACAGTTTCAGCAGCAATATAGAAATTGGAACAACAGAGTTATGTGCAATAAGATGGTGAACAAACTAATTTGCTTAGTGGAGAAGTCATGCACATGAGAGGCAGACAGTAGAAAAGATACCTTGGAACCAAAATATAGGTCTTTAAATGTCATACTAAAATTTTAAAATATTATCCTCTAGGGCCATAGAGAGAGCTCTGTTGGCCTAGTGGATAGAAAGTTATGCTACCAAGCCAAAGGTGAGTTATTTTAATCTGTGGCCCTCAAGCCTGGTTTTAATTGTTTTTGGTCAAACAGTCTTCTAAGTGGCATAGCACTGATCTATCCATTTGCTATACAGAGATAACTCATGGTTGCTGTGATGATAAACACTGTGACACTGATGTGTCAAATGTGATAATGGTTACCCATGGTGGACAGTATTTGGTGGAGCTCCCTGATTAAATCACGCTTGGAAGCAGGAGTGGCATCCACTTCTGAAATACCTTGCCTGTGGAAGCTCAATGAACATGGAGAAATGATGTAAGTTATACAAGTGTTCAGGTCTTTCATTCATAGGGTCGCTATGAATTGTCTACAACATGACGGCACTTAACAACAACAACAACAACAATCCTATAGGGCAGTTCTGTATCCTGGCTATAAATCAGAATTGTCTCGAAAGACATTTTTTAAACAAAAAACCACAGGGTTCTGTATGTAGATATTATTTTTTTTAGTACTGAAATGGGATTAAATGTTCTCAATTCAGGGGAGCTCTGGTGGTTTAGTGGCGAGGAGCTGCAACTACAATCCCAGAGGCGCACGGTTCGAATCCACCAGATGCTCTGCCGGGGAAGGAGGAACAATCTCCTCCTGTACCAGTCAGACCTGATTTGACGGTACACTCACACAAAAATTAAAAAAAAATAAAAATAAAAATTTACAAATGCCATCAACAGTGGAAAAACTTAAAAGAACACAGGCGTGAGATTATGAAACCTATGATTTAGGAAAGTATCTGTAACTTGCAGTAAATTGTGAAACGGTGGGAAAACAAAAAGAAATACTAGTTGTTTAATGGTTATTTATGAACATGCACATCTAAATACAGTTAAATTGTTCTTTATGAAACTTATTTCAATAGTGCTAGTCTGAGGAAATAAAAAGCTTATACTAGAGTAGTATCAGTCAAAATATAAAAGAAAAATAAGATGTCAGGTCTCTATCCACCTCAAATCCAAATGGAATATTGAATACAATGGAGTCCAGAGTGTCATCCTCTTTTGCCCATATTCTTGCAAACAGAACGCTCTTTCTCTGTAGCTTACAGAATCCTCAGAGTTCTCCCAAATCACAGCTTATAACATTCTCAGAGATCTCCTCAAGTCTCCAGCGGAATGAATTAAAATTAGGACAAAGGGAAACTGATATAAGGGAAACAGTGTTGTTCTTATCCTTAGAATTACGGCAGAAGGAGATACCTTCCTACAATTCTTGGTTTGGCCCAGAAATACATTCTTGCCTAAACATTATTAGAAATAGTTATTTCTGTTTAAATATCAGTATTATAGCTTGGTTATATAAATACCACAAATAGGTTTTCATTCATTGCCCTGGGAACTTACTCAACCTTTCTAATATTGTTTCTACAGAGGGAATGTCTGTATGCATTTCCAACAGCTGGCATACAAATGAGCTTGTGGAACATAATACATTTGACAGCTGAGAACTGCCTGTATATGATTAAGTATCAAATGAATGACATAGATAATAAGTGCTCAAGGACTGCATAGAAAAAAGAGACCACTGTGCACTGAAACAGCTGCAAAATCCTGGTGGCAGAGGTGGGTAGCATTTGAATGAAGGAAAAGATGTGGACACTGCAGGAAAGAGCAATAACACAATAAAAGGCTCTGAGCCAAGAGTTAATAATACAGCATGTTCAGTATTTTAAATTGCCGCCTATGCATATAAAAGCTGGATAGATTAAAATGGAGATTGATGAAGAATTGATGTATTCAAATTATGGTCTTAGTGAACTTCACAGAATTGCCTTCAGGTCGTTTCTTCAGGTCTCACATATTTCTGCCACTTCTCTATTGTTCTCATTTGTGGAAACCATTTGAGTTTTCCTTTCTGACAAGTTTTCTCCTTATGTAAGCATTGGCTTGTGACATTTTAACTGTACCATGACTGTTAGAAAATAAAGAAGTTTATCTTGCAAGAAGTACAGCATGGATACTCTTTGGAAGTGAGATTGAGACTTCATATCACTTACTTCAAATCTGTCATTAAAACATCAAAATCGAGCCCACTGTCAATCAATCAATTCCAATTTGTGACAATCCTCCACCGGATTTCCAAGGATGAAAATCTTAATGGAAGGAGATTGCCTCATATTTCTCCCAAAGAGAAACTGCTGGATTTAAACTGCCAACCATTCAGTTAGCAATGCAACACTTAACTTACTATGCCACCAGGGCTCCTGGATATGTCATCAGGAGGGACCAATCCCTGGGGAAGGATATCATGCTTTGTACAGAGTCAGCTGAAAAGAGGAAGACCCTCAACAAAAAGGAATGACACAACAGCGGCAACAATGAGCACAGGGTAAGGTGGTATAGGGGTAAGTAATGTTTCATTCAGTTCCACATGGGGTCGCCATAAGTCAGAACCATCACGACAGCCCCTGACAACAACAGTTTTAGAGGAAAGAAAAGCTTGGCCAGAATGGAAAATTTGTGCTGGTGAGTTATAGAGGGAAAGGTTGGACAGATAAGATATATGTTGTTGTTTCTATATATCATGAAGTTTGTAAATTATTACCTAACTTGGGAGCGACAAGAGAGCATTATTTTGAGTGAACTAACTCAGTCCCACAAGGATAAATATTGTATAAAACCATTATTGTATCATCTCACCCCAGTAAGATTAGCAAAATCTAACAGAAAAGCAAGAAACAAATGCTGACGAGGTTGTGGAGAAATTGCAACCCTTATTCACTGCTGGTGGGAGTAAAATGGTGCAACCACTGTGGAAGGCAGTATGGCGCTTTCTCAAAAAGTTGGAAATAGAAATACCATTTGACCCAGCAATT